TAAGGCCTGGCACAAGCAGGCTAGGATTCTGATTGTGGCTCAGGTCCAGCATGTTACATTCATGTATGTACAGTGGCCATTAGATGGTTTCATCGGTGCCTATTTTATATAATTTCTTAATGGAGTTACTACTGGCAGCCAGCATCTAAATGCCTATCGCAACAAAGCTTTCACCACAGTGATTTGTCTTGATATGTCTGCTCCAATTTCTGTACCTGTTTGTATGCCATAATATTCTCAGTTGAAGAGGTTCTTTAGTCAGTTAAATAAAAAAACCATACATAAAAGTCAGCAGCTACAAATACTACGGCTTCTTACGCAGTAAGATCAGACTGTATATGCAGTAAAGTATGCTTGTTGTACTCCCTGTGGACCGGAAGGGGTTAATCTTCCACATTGTGTAAAAAGGCTGTTTGATCCAGTTTTCTCTGATCCTTCCCTTCATCTACTGTCCACAATCCATCTGCTGATAGTACAGAGCCCTAGGAGTTCCTCTACACATGCTCAGTTTGGTGTGTGTATTGCTTGAGAGTGTGTGTTTTTTTTTTTTGGTAGGATGCATGTGTTCAGCACAGGGCCAACCAGCACTGTCCAGACAGAGGGTCAGTGGTTATACAGCCTCATAGGACAATCAGAATGAAAACTCCTCTTGCAAGCTTGAACCAGTGCTTGGCCGGACACTGATAAAAGTCACAAGACTGCTATATACTACTGATGAGAAAAGGAATTTAGCAGTTTATATTTACTAAAATAATTGCATTTCAATGTTCTATGTACAGTGAGAGACCAGATATAGTGAATGCAGGATCCTGGGCTTAGTAACACTTTATTAAAAGGACACTTACCTGTCCAGGGATTCAATACTCTCCTCAGCTGACTGGTTCTTTGCTGGTATTTGGGTCCCTGGCAGCACCAACTTGGATGTGGGAAGCTGGCTACGAATCTCTGCGGCTTCACAGCTGGCTTCCCTCTGCGCTTTCTGAATGACACACAGCCTCCTGGGAGATATGTTCCGGGAGGTTGCAGTGGGAGGGGGTTTGTGAGAATGCCACTGGAATTTCTGAGGCATTCCCTGCAGAATTGAGAGTGGGTACCTGCTAGCAGGACCAGGGACGCCTCATTGCCGTCAGCTAGAGGGGAGGGAGGAGAGCGGACACGGCCGCTCCCCTCCCCTTCTTGTCCTGACCTGTAATTGACGTTATGATGTCACTTCTGGGTCCCCGTTGAGAGATTCCCAGCCATGGAAGCCGGGAAAGAATGTAATGCAATGCACACTGCATTGCATTCAGTGGAGCACAGGGGAGACATGCAGAGTCTTTTAGACCCTAGATACCTCAATATAGAGAACCGGTCACCAAAAATCATCACATAGTGGACTTTGTCCCCTATGTAGTGGAAAAAAAATAAAAAATGTTATTGTAAAAAATGAAAGTTACACCCAAGCACAGGCCCGTACAAATGTAAAAGCACACGCTGGGGCGTCTACGCATGAAAACGTTGATTGCAATACATGTCACATGTCACTGCGCACTCCAGAATGAGAGCAATAATTCTAGCACCAGACCTCCTCTTTAATGCTAAACTGATGACCTATAAGGAGCTTGAAAAGTGTTGACCTATAGAAAATATAGGGTACTGAAGTTTGTTTCATTTCACAAACGTGCACAAATTTTAAGGTTTGACAAGTTGGATATCTATTTACTCTGTGCAACCTCATCTTTGATATTTTACAAAAAAAAATAGGGTAATGCATTGCTTTTTTGTGCCATAAAATTAACGTACTTGTATTTTTTACTGAAATTTTGCTGTAATATCATGCGATATAAAAAATTGGAACTACCACTATTTTAGGGTCTCTGCTTTCAGAAAATATATGATGTTCGGGGGTTTCATATCTTCAGGGATAAAATTATTTTTTAAGCTTGTGCAAAAAACTGCTCTGGCAGTAAAAGGGATAAAGGATTAGCCTCCTAGATTGTAAGCTTGAAAGAGCAGGGCCCTCAATCCCCTCATGTTTTGCATTGTATTGGTGTTGTTCTGTCACATGTTCTGTACCCCTCTGTAATGTACAGCGCTGAGCGAACTATTGGCACTTTATAAATACTGTATAATAATAATAAGCCCTGACCCACCCTTTTCTTAGGAGCAGCCAATGAGGGCTCATTACACTACAAAGTCTCTCCCATCCCTGCTAGTCCCCGGGTGCGGTGCTGGAGAGAGGCCGGGAGGGGAGGAGGAGATGAACAGCGCAAAAATATTAAACGTTTAAGTTCCCATAAAGCCCCTTTTGTTTTTAAAAGCCCCAGACATTCCTAATAAAACCTCAGTTTAAATACAGTTTTGGTTAAAAAAAAATGTTTTATCTAGACAAGTAGGTTGTCGTGAAGGACAAATAGATTGGGGCACCAATTTAGTCCCTGGACAAGTAGGTTTTTAAAGAATTTCCACACCCCTGTATGAGGTATCACCATGATTGTCAGAACAAGAGCAATAATTATAGCACTAGAACTCCTCGTAACTTTACTGCTAACCTGTAGAAATTTTTAACACATCACCCAAGTACCATAGTTTGACCCCATTCCACGAACCCGCACTTTTTTAAAGCATGACATGTGTATCTATTTACTTGCCGTAACATCCTTTTTCATATTTTACAAAAAAATTGGGTTATACAGTGAGGAACAGAAGTATTTGAACACCCTGCGATTTTGCAAGTTCTCCCACTTAGAAATCATGGAGGGGTCTGAAATTCACATTGTAGGTGCATTCCCACTCTGAGAGACAGAATTAAAAAAAAAAATTCAGGAAATCACATTGTATGATTTTTAAAGAATTTATTTGTCTTGCACTGCTGAACATAAGTATTTGAACACCTGAGAAAATCAGTGTTAATATTTGGTACAGAATCCTTTGTTTGCAATTACAGAGGTCAAACGTTTCCTGTAGTTCTTGACCAGGTCTGCACACACTGCAACAAGGATTGTGGCCCACTCCTCCACACAGATCTCCTCTAGATCTGTCAGGTTTCGGGGCTGTCGCTGAGCAACACGGAGTTTCAGCTCCCTCCAAAGATGTTCTATTGGATTTAGGTCTGGAGACTGGCTAGGCCACTCCAGAACCTTGATATGCTTCTTACGGAGCCACTCCTTGGTTATCCTGGCTGTGTGCTTCGGGTCGTTGTCATGTTGGAAGACCCAGCCACGACCCATCTTCAATGCTCTGACTGAGGGAAGGAGGTTGTTGCTCAAAAAATCTCACAATAAATGGCCCCATTCATCCTCTCCTTAATCCAGTGCAGTCGTCCTGTCCCCTTCGCAGAAAAGCACCCCCAAAGCATGATGCTACCACCCCCATGCTTCACAGTAGGGATGGTGTTCTTGGGATGCAACTCATCCTTCTTTTTCCTCCAAACACGACGAGTGAAGTTTAGACCAAAAAGTTCTACTTTGGTCTCATCTGAGCACATGACTTTCTCCCGTGCCTCCTCTGGATCATCCAGATGGTCATTGGCAAAACTTCAGATGGGCCTGGACGTGTGATGACTTGAGCAGGGGAACCTTTCGTGCAATGCATGATTTGAAACCATGACGGCGTAGTGTTCTACCGACAGTGACCTTTGAAACTGTGGTCCCAGCTCTCTTCATGTCATTGACCAGCTCCTCCCTTGTAGTTCTGGGCTGATTCCTCACCTTTCTTATCATCAGTGATACCCCACGAGGTGAGATCTTGCATGGAGCCCCAGTCCGAGGGAGACTGACAGTCGTCTTTAGCCTCTTCCACTTTCTAACAATTGCTCCAACAGTTGATCTATTTTCACCAAGCTGCTTGGCAATTGCCCGTAGCCCTTTCCAGCCTTGTGGAGGTCCACAATTTTGTCTCTGGTGTCTTTTGACAGCTCTTTGGTCTTGCCCATTGTAGTAGTTGGCGTCTGACTGACTGTGGGGTGGACAGGTGTCGTTAAAGAGCTCAGACAGGTGCTATTAAGTTAGATTAATGAGTGGAGTAGAGGTGGACTTTTTAAAGGCACAGTAACAGGTCTTTGAGAGCCAGAATTCTTGCTGTATCTTAGGTGTTCAAATACTTATGTTCCGCAGTGCAAGACAAATTCTTTAAAAATCATACAATGTGATTTCCTGATTTTTTTTTTTTTTTAATTCTGTCTCTGAGTTGGAATGCACCTACAATGTAAAGTGGGAGAACTTGCAAAATCGCAGCGTGTTCAAATACTTCTGTTCCTCACTGTATATTGTTTTGTTGCTTTTTGTATTTTTTATAATCATTAAAGTGTATTTTTTTTCCAAAAAAATATATTTTTAAAAACTGGCCATTTTTGGTTTTCGGCCAAGTGCATCCTGAATTTTCGGTATCAGAATCTTCATTTCAGTGCACCACTAGTATGAATCGCATACTAGCACATTATGCAGGACTTACCTTAAAATGAAGCCCTCCAGCAGCCACTGACAGGGCTTCCATCTTCACCCAGTCTTCCTTTCAGGTTCGCAGGATCTGGCCATTTGATGTCACTCCTGCACATGCAAATGGGAGCCACAGTCCTGATACAGCTTTGATGGCATGCACACCTTCAGAGCTCGGTGCGCTTGTGCCAGTGATGTCACCGACTGCAGAAGTAATGAATATCTCCAAACCAGTGCAGGTTTAGGAAATATTTCTCCACAGCCCAGTGCTCCAGTGAGCGCTGGAGGGATAGAGCACAGTGCCGGAGGCTGACAGCCATGGCTTTCTACTCAGAACGGAGGGGAGAACTGAGCGACCAAAGGTGTTTGATTGCTCGGTTCTCATTGCGTAGTCGGTAGGGGACAGATGCATTATCATATCTATGCTGCATCCACTTAGGTGAGTACAAGTGTTTGCTATTTATTAAATAAGGATGATGTTCTTGTTTAGTAGCTGTTTTTTTTTTTTTAGAATATGGTTTATTTGTGTTTTTTTTTTTTTTTTTTTGTTTAACAGCAATGGGTAAAAGAAAGGAAACCAGCCCCTTGGGTACCTCTGGACATGGTAAGAGAGCAAGGCCAGATGATGATCAAGATTCTTCTTCTGGAGAGGGGTCTCAGTCAGTAAGTACAAACCTCCACATTTTTCTATCTCTGCGCACTTGCATATAATGAATGAGTAAAGGTCAGCTGGCATATGAGTTTAGTGTGTTAAATTAATCTTTGAAATCTTTTTATATCATCACAATAGAATCTAAGGTAGGCCATACATTATGCAATTTTCTTTCCTCCTACAGGTTAAAGGAAAGAAAATTGTTCAATTTCCCCACTGCAGCGCTATTGTATTTTGCTGACAGGGAACCTTCCCTATCAGCAGAATACAGTAATCACTGCTGGTGACTGCCCTCCAAACAGATCTGCATGGACTGAGGGGGGGGGGGGGGGGGGCGCTGATCCATTTTTTTTTTTGTTTTTTTCAGGTTGGAGGTAGGTGAGTGTAAACGGACTTAAGTCCAGGCCAATGATTTGCTATGTAGAGAAAGTAGAATTGGGATGACATTTCTGGTGCCTGCTCCAGAACAAAACAGATTGGCAGTTGAATTTCCACCTGCCCTCACATGTTCACTTTAATGCTACAATTTGGCTGCAGATGAACCCTCTTGAAAGATTTTCTTCATTATTATTATACAGGATTTATATAGCGCCAACAGTTTGCTCAGCGCTTTACAATATAACGTGAGACAATACAGTTCAATACAAGAGGGTTAGGAGGGCCCTGATCCTGGGAGCTTACAAGCTAGGAGGGAGGGGCTAGTGGTACAAAAGGTAGTAACTGTGGGGGATGGACTGGTTGGAAGAGTAGAAGATTCCATTATTAGCTGAGGGCAGGATATTCAGCTTATCAGCTGTAGTGCCTTCATTAAGAGACGCCACTAGGGAAACAATGGTGTCTCACTCACACTAGTATGGGTGCTCTGGTAGTATTAACCGCTTCCCGTCCACCCTATAGCAGAAATACTGCTACAGGGCGGCACCGGTGCACAAAATCATGTATAATTACGCGTGATGTTGAAGTTTCGGGTAGGGGGCACACAAACCCTACCGGGCGCTACCATTCACGGCTGTCAATCACCGGGTCCTGGCCTGTGATTACTCGCCGTCGCCCAGTGATTGCCAAGGATCTGCACACTGCTTTGATGGGGAGCACAGCCATAGAGAGCACTGTGTTTGAGCACAAACACACAGCCAAAACAATTCTCCTCCCTGTCAGCTCTTTTTTAGCAAGGACATGTGCACACTGCTAAATTTTTTGCATGGCTTTTTTTAATGTTTAATAGCAAAAAGTAAAAAATATTTATTTTGTCTCAAAATTGTCAGTCTTTTTTTTTTTTTTTTTTTTTCTTATAGTGCAAAAAATAAAAACGTACAGGCGATCAGATACCATGAAAAGAAAGCTCAATTAGTGGGGGAAAAAAGGATGTAAATTTAATTTGGGTGCAGCATTGCATGACCGTGCAATTGTCAAAGTAACGCAGCTCCATAACGCAGACAATGACCTGGTCAGGAAGGGTGGAAAATCTTCAGGAGGGCAAGTGGTTAAAGGCGTTACTTGTGAACAGCATAAACAAATTGGTGCAATGTAAATAAATATCATATTGCATCTTCTCACAGAATTACTTGGTTAATCACAAACATATTATAAATTGGTAAGATTTATACCTTTTATGGTGTTTCAAACACTCCACTAAAATTTGTTTTCCAAATGTCTAGCTCAGAGTTGCGTACTCAGTTATTTGTTGCCATCTAGCACATAAATTAAGCCCAAATCTTCAAAAACTGTCCATTCAAGCTATATTACATTGTTCACTCACTCATCCAATAGAGCATTTGTTTTCTGTATTCTGCAAAAATCCTGGCTGATCCTGTTGCTCACTGTCTCTCCCTCCTTGTCTGTGTCCTCACTGCAGCCTGAGATGGTGTAGACCAGCTGTTAACATCTAGTAAGCATGCTCCAGTTTCAGTTCCCCTCTAAGCTGTTCCTTTCCTTTTTTTTTTTTATCTGTGCAGCCCATGTGTCTGTAGAGTCACACATGTGGGGGTTTACACAGTGGTAAATGCGACTTCTCCCTCCCCTCCTCCTCCTCCTCCTCCTCATATTACTAAACACTATGGGGGCGGGATATAAGATGGTGGTTGATGGAGGCTTCACCTCCCTGTTAGTCCCTGCGCATGCGTGCCACAGATACAGGCTGGAGGAGTGTTTACAAAGCCTGTGATTCTTGTGTGCACCCAGGCTGTCATAGCCTGAGTTCACACAGGAGCGGTTCAGGGAGGTTTCCCGCAGCGGAGAGTGGGCGTTTGGGAATGGATGCTATGGTGGCAGATGCTTCATATCCTCAGCAGTAGGCAAGGAGAGAAAGCGGCGGGGATTTGAAACCACCCACGCTTTCTCCTTTCTCCTTGCATTGATGACTGTTTGGACTAGAAGGCTTTTACTTGGTCAGCAACATCACTTGGACGGTGCAGACCAATCAGATGACGTCTAGCCCGTACTGTCATCGCTGCAAGGAAAGGAGAGAAAGCTGTGGGGATTTCAAATCCCAGACCTGTGAAGCAGCTTTCTCTCCTCTCCTCCCATTTTCTCTCCTCTGCTACTGCTGAGAATATGGAGCATCTGACACCATAGTATACATCCCCACAAGCCCACTCTCTGCTCAGCATGGGATCCCTGCAGGGAGGTTTCCTGTACCGCTTTTATGTAAACTCAGGCTATAACACGCTTGGGTTCACACAGGAGCAGTGGGGAAACCATGTGCAATTTGGATAGGAATTGAATTCCTGTTCAAATCACATGCTAATCTTTGCTGTGCAGTTTGTATTGATCCAAAGCGCACTGCAATGTATCAGTTTTACAGTATCATGAGCATTTTCACGAGTACGAATACTAGGTATCGGCACATCCCTATTAAGTACCTTATGTTTTCTGTGGACGACACTTTAAAAGCCCACTATAGGTCATCAGTTTGGTATTACAGAGGAGGTCTGGTGCTAGAAATATTGCTCTCACTCCGGCGTGTAACATGTATTGCAATTATTTTCATGTGTAGGTGCCCCAGACACCAGCGTTTAGGTTTGTACGTATGTATATGTGAAGTTGGGAGAACATCAAAATGTTTTTGTGAGGGTGGGGTGGTTATATGTGCTTGGGTGTAATGTTAATTTTTTTACAATTAAAAAAAAAAAAAAATCTACTTTTTTTCATCACATTTTTGTGTGTGGTGTGTTTTTTTTTTTTCTTTTGCTTTTACTATGAAAAAAAATTAACCCATTGAAAGGGACAGAACCCAGTGCATCCAAACCCAATGACCAAATTGCAGGAGCCTTCAGGCTTACAGAGCCTACTTTTCTCAACTTAATCAATAGTCAGAATGTATCCGATTGTTCAGTGTGTTGAATATTCTTATTTTCATAGGTCACTGCTGATGTTGGGATCATTGAAAGCATTTCACTGAAGAACTTTATGTGTCATGCAATGCTTGGACCCTTCCGATTTGGACCAAATGTCAACTTTGTTGTTGGGAACAATGGAAGTAAGTGATGTCACCTTAACTTTGGTTTCACACACATATACAGTGTGTGGTGCGGTGCATCGCATGTGATTCGCACAGGAACCGCACCACATTCCTGTGCAATTCACATGTGGTTTGTTTGCGGTGCGATTGGAGCAATACATTATGTAGGGCTCAAATCGCACAGCACCCGCACCAAAAAGGTACAGGACCCTTTTTTGGGTTTGCACTAGAATCGGATCGCATGGGTTTTCACACTTATGTGATCTGATTCTGCACATGGCACCACGTTTTGCGAACCGATTTCTGGGTGTTGCTAACTTAACATACACTCCTGCAGCGGTTCACATGAACAGGGTGCAATTCTGATGCAGTTCGCAGAGAAAACGCTGGGAATTCCACACCACATCACTGTGAACCCAGCCTTCTAATAAGTTTGTCTTTTCAAAGGCAGCCCATTAAGCTGCTATTTGTATATTTATAAATGCACTATATATTTATTTTACATAAAGTATTTTGACCCCTTCACTTTTTTCAGTTTTGTTCTTTTGCAGCCTGATACTACAGTTTAAATTATTATATTTTTTTCTCATTAATCTACATTCAGTACCCCATAATGATGAAGTAAAAACAGAATTTTAGAAATGTTTGCAAATGTACGAAAAGGGAAAAACTGAAATATTACATTGATATAAGTATTCATACCCTGCTCAGGTGCCTCCCATTTCTCTTGATTGTTGCTGAGATGTTTCTGCACCTTGCTTGGAATCCACCTATGGTAAATTCAATTGATTGGAAATGTTTTGGAAAAGCACCCCGGTCACATCGGGTGCGACTTGTTATGCGATTTGCATATCGCATGCCAAGTCGCACCCTATTGTCTGCAATTAAAGCGGACTTATCAGTTCGTGTTCTGACTTGTTCGGAGCCGCACCGTTTTCTAAAGTAGTACATGCACTTCATTTGGTGCGATTTGCATAGACATCTGTGTCAGATGTCTTGCAAATCGCACCTGAAATCTGCATCTCACCCGACTTTGAAATCGTGCGACTTCACTGTAAGTCGCACAATTTCAAAGTCGGGCTTGATGTGACCAGGGTGTAAGGCTCCTTTCACATTAGGGCTTGATTTGAAAACATGCTGTAAAAGTGTGAAAATGCACAATCGCATATTCAGGTGCCATTCATTTCAATGGCACCTGAAAATGGGGTGTGTTTTTCCACACAGCAAATGCTCCAAGATCGTGCAAACAAAATCGCGGGTTCCGGAATATTTTTTTGGGCGTCCTGCGATTTTGTTTACGGGATTGAGTTGTGTTTGCTGTGCTGTGTTTTCAAATTGCGGGCAGAATTGCGCAGATTCTGCCCATGATATGAAGAGCCCTACTGTGAAACCATAAGCTTAAAGGAACTGCATGCAGAGCTCAGAGACAGGAATATTTCAAGGCACAGATCTGGGGAAGGCTACAAAAAATTCTGCACTGAAGGCTCCCAAGAGCACAAGGGCCTCCATAATTCTTAAGTGGAAGAATTTTGGCACATCCAGGACTCTGTCAAGAGCTGGTCACCCGATCAAATTGAGCAATCGTGGAAGAAGGGCCTTAGTAAGAGAGGTGACCAACAACCTGATGATCACTCTGACTGAGCTCCAAAGATCCTGTGTGGAGATGAAACAAAGTTTCAAAAGGATCACTGCAGCTCTCTACCGATCTGAGCTTCAAGGCAGAGTGGCTAGATGGAAGCCTCCCCTTAGTACAAAACACATGAATGCCTGCTTAGAGTTTGCAAAAAAAAACCTGAAGGACTCTAATAAGACTGTGAGAAATAGGATTCTCTGGTCTGATGAAACCAGGATTGAACGGTTTGGCCTCAATTCTAAATGCTATGTCTCCAGGAAACCAGGCACTGCTCATCACCTGCCCAATACCATCCCAACAGTGAAGCATGGTGGTGGCAGCATCATGCTGTGGGGGGGGGGGGGGGGGGGGGGTTCAGCAGCAGGGACTGGGAGACTGGCCAGAGTTGAGGGAAAGCTGAATGGAGCAAAGTACAGAGCTATCCTCAAAGAAAATCTGTTCCACAGTGCTCAGAACCTCAGACTGAGCTGAAGGTTCACCTTCTAACATGACAGCGATCCTAAGCACACAGACAAGACAACACAGGAATGGCTTAAGAACAGCTCTGCGAATGTCTCACAGTGGCCCAGTCACAGCCCTAACTTGAACCCTATTGAACTGGCTGTCCACCGACGGTCCCCATCCATCCTGACTGAGCTTGAGAGAATTTGCAAAGAAGAATGGCAGAAAGTCCCCCAATCTAGGTGTGCAAAGCCTGTTGTGTCATAACAAACAACAGTGGAGGCTGTAATTGCTGCCAAAGGCCTTCAACAAAGTACTGAGTAAAGGGTCTGAGTGTTTAAAGCTGTAGGAAAGGCTGATATATATATATATATATATATATATATATATTAGTAGGTGGATTAGCGCTTGTCTAAATTGGCCCTAGTGTGTTTGTGTGTGTGTATATGTATATGTGTATGTATATGTGTATGTATGTGTGTGTATATGTGTATATATATATATATATATATATATATATATATGTATGAATGTGAGTTAGGTACCTTAGATTTTATACCTCTTGAGGGTTAGGGACTGATGTGAATGTACTATATATTTATATATGTGTGTGTATAAAGCGCTGCGTAAACTGACAGCGCTGTAAAAGTACCTGAAATAAATAAATTTAAAAAATCATAATGTGCTAGTATGCATTCTATACTAGCACATTATGAAAGACTTACCCCAAAACGAAGCCCTCCATCGGCGCTTTGTCTTCCTCCGGGTACGTGGGCTGTGGCCGTTTGAATGGCCAAGCCTCAATGACGTCACTCCCGCACGTGCGCTCAGGAGTCACAATATACCATCAGTATACCGTCCTTTAAGAGCGCAATGTGCATGCGCCAGTGACGTCACCGGCCTCCTAGCTAGAGAATATCTCCTAAACGGTATTCCTTGTACCTGCAGTTAATCTTTATTATAAGCATATCTGTAGGTACAAATGAAAAATCTGTGATTACTTCCCTGTTAAGTACTCGTGATATTTCAGTTTTTTCTTTTTAATAAATTCAGACATTTCTAAATTTCTATTTTCAATTTGTCACTTATGGGGTGCTGAGTGTAGATTGAAAAAAAAAAAAAAATTAACCAATTTTACGTCCATCATGACCAGGCCATTTTCTGCGATACGGTGCTGCATTACTTTAACTGACAATTGTGCTGTCATGCAATGCTGTACATTAATTAACCCCTTGGCGCTGACGTAGCACAAATATGCGGCCTCACAAAAGTGTTTATTTTCTGGGGGGCCACATATTTGCATATCTGTCTTTGTGCTGAGAGTGCACCGCGCAGCGCGCTCCCAGCACAAAGACTGGGGTGCCACTGAGAGTCCCGGGTCCCTTTCTAACAATCAGGTTCTGGGTCACATGATCGCTGTGATAGCCGTGATAGCCTCTGATTGGCTATCACGGTGATCAGTCATTGTGAAGCCCGCCCCCTTGTTTTTTCTCTTTGAATGGAGGAGAGAGAGATGCATTGTAATATTTTTAAATTGGTATCAGTGTCAGTTAGTGTCAGTGTGTTTTAGGTAAACAAAAATCAAAATGAGAACTATTGTTTCTGGGCTGTACTACAGGTAAAAACAACAAATAACATACACATATATGGTATTTCTGCAGTTGTCAGGAGCTGGAAAATTTGTTTTGGGTTGTTCTTTGGTGGTAGGTTATGGTAGTAACAAACACACAGCTAAATAAAAAAATAAACTTTTTTTTTTTACTATTATGGGCCAGGTTTCCTTTTGATAATAGAAAAATAAAATCAGAAGATTATCATTACCATTTACCACCAAATGAAAGCCCAATTTTTCCTGAAAAAAGCAAGGTGTAATTCCTCCTTTGTAATTACTAACACATGTCAAAGTTGTAAAATTTTACTTAGGCTTTAAGATTTGTTTTACCCTTAGGCGTGAAGGGGTTAAATTTAAAAAAAAAAAAAATTCCCACAAATAGTTTTGTTTTGGTGGTGTTTGATCACCACTGGGTTTTTTATTTTCTGCACTATAAATGAAAAAAACTAATTAAAAAAAAAACATTCTATATATATATATATATATATATATACAGTCAGGTCCATAAATATTGGGACATCGACACAATTCTAACATTTTTGGCTCTATACACCACCACAATGGATTTCAAATGAAACGAACAAGATGTGCTTTAACTGCAGACTGTCAGCTTTAATTTGAGGGTATTTACATCCAAATCAGGTGAACGGTGTAGGAATTACAACAGTTTGCATATGTGCCTCCCACTTGTTAAGGAACCAAAAGTAATAAGACAGAATAATAATCATAAATCAAACTTTCACTTTTTAATACTTGGTTGCAAATCCTTTGCAGTCAATTACAGCCTGAAGTCTGGAACGCATAGACATCACCAGACGCTGGGTTTCATCCCTGGTGATGCTCTGCCAGGCCTCTACTGCAACTGTCTTCAGTTCCTGCTTGTTCTTGGGGCATTTTCCCTTCAGTTTTGTCTTCAGCAAGTGAAATGCATGCTCAATCGGATTCAGGTCAGGTGATTGACTTGGCCATTGCATAACATTCCACTTCTTTCCCTTAAAAAACTCTTTGGTTGCTTTTGCAGTGTGCTTTGGGTCATTGTCCATCTGCACTGTGAAGCGGCGTCCAATGAGTTCTGAAGCATTTGGCTGAATATGAGCAGATAATATTGCCTGAAACACTTCAGAATTCATCCTGCTGCTTTTGTCAGCAGTCACATCATCAATAAATACAAGAGAAGCAGTTCCATTGGCAGCCATACATGCCCACGCCATGACACTACCACCACCATGCTTCACTGATGAGGTGGTATGCTTAGGATCATGAGCAATTCCTTTCCTTCTCCATACTCTTCTCTTCCCATCACTCTGGTACAAGTTGATCTTGGTCTCATCTGTCCATAGGATGTTGTTCCAGAACTTTGTAGGCTTTTTTAGATGTCGTTTGGCAAACTCTAATCTGGCCTTCCTGTTTTTGAGGCTCACCAATGGTTTACATCTTGTGGTGAACCCTCTGTATTCACTCTGGTGAAGTCTTCTCTTGATTATTGACTTTGACACACATACACCTACCTCCTGGAGAGTGTTCTTGATCTGGCCAACTGTTGTGAAGGGTGTTTTCTTCACCAGGGAAAGAATTCTTCGGTCATCCACCACAGTTGTTTTCCGTGGTCTTCCGGGTCTTTTGGTGTTGCTGAGCTCACCGGTGCGTTCCTTCTTTTTAAGAATGTTCCAAACAGTTGTTTTGGCCACGCCTAATGTTTTTGCTATCTGTCTGATGGGTTTGTTTTGTTTTTTCAGCCTAATGATGGCTTGCTTCACTGATAGTGACAGCTCTTTGGATCTCATCTTGAGAGTTGACAGCAACAGATTCCAAATGCAAAAAGCACACTTGAAATGAACTCTGGACCTTTTATCTGCTCATTGTAATTGGGATAATGAAGAAATAACACACACCTGGCCATGGAACGGCTGAGAAGCCAATTGTCCCATTACTTTTGGTCCCTTAATAAGTGGGAGGCACATAAGCAAACTGTTGTAATTCCTACACCGTTCACCTGATTTGGATGTAAATACCCTCAAATTAAAGCTGACAGTCTGCAGTTAAAGCACATCTTGTTCGTTTCATTTCAAATCCATTGTGGTGGTGTATAGAGCCAAAAATGTTAGAATTGTGTTGATGTCCCAATATTTATGGACCTGACTGTATGTATATATATATATATATATATATATATATATATATATATATATATATATATATATATATATATATATATATATATATATATATATATATATATATATATATATATATATATATATACACTTTTTTTTTTTTATACTAGTAATGGCGGTGATCAGCAATTTATAATGGGACTACGATATTACAGTGGACAGTTTGATGCTTTTTGGGAACAAGTGACACTAATAAAGTGATCAGTGCTAAAAATATACACTGTCACTGTATTAATGACATTGACTCGGAAGGGGTTAAACATCTAGGGCGAGCAAAGGGTTAACAGTGTTCCTAGCTATGTGATTTCTTTACCCTGTGTGCTGTTTTTACTAGGCAATCTGCTAGATTTTCCTCCCTACTTTGCACAGAGAAAATCTAGCAGCTTGCCGCTAACAGAACTTAGCTCTACCTTGTTTACATAAGCAGAGTTGTGTTTTGTCAGTCACCTCGGTGATCAACAGGTTCTGGCGCTCGTCCAGTGGTCACTGTTGATTGGCTTCTGCTGTGTCCAGTCACAACAAAAGGGGCGCTGCGGCCCCTATGGCGGAAGTGCAAAATCTTGTTTTTATACGTGATTGTGCACAGAACGTCCCCCCTATAGCAGTAAATCTACTTTGCTCAATTTATACATGCATCATAATTGGAGTCCGTTATATAATTATCCACATATTGAATGCACATCAGATGAACATCTTCTAATAAATGTGGTGCTTTAAAAGTGGAAATTACGTCAGGAAGAAACGTCCCCATACTAAAGATGTGGAATGTAGACATAAATACCTATTATAAAAAGCACACATATACATTAAGGAAAATATTGGTTTTTCCTTAATGTATATATGTGCTATTTATAATAGATATTTATGTCTACATTCCACATTTTTAATATGATCTATCACCGTTGTGCACTCCACCTATATTACTTTATATATACTTTTTTTTTTTTTTTTTACTTTTTTTTCCTGACACTGTTCAGTCATACATTTATGACCACTGACAGGTTAAGTGAATAACACTGATTATCACCTTAACAATGGCATCTAAAAAATCAGTGGAATATGTTAGGCAGCAAGTAAACATGTTCACTCTAAAGTTGATGTGTTGAAAGCACAGAAGTGTTTCAAATGTTTTGCTAAGGTTTCAGGCCAATATAGCCAGCCCTTCCTCAACCTCAGAAAGGGCTGGCGTGTTTGTGTGTTTTTTTTTTTTTGTATTTTTGTTTTTTCTAATTCCGTATTGTGGAGTGCTGCAACCCTTGAACGTGATATACAGTGCCTTGGAAAAGTATTCATACCCCTTGAAATTTTCCACATTTTGTCATGTTACAACCAAAAATGTAAATGTATGTATGTGATAGACCAACACAAAGTGGCTCATAATTGTGAAATGGAAGGAAAGTGATCAATGGTTTTCAAATAAATATGTGAAAAGTGTGGCATGCATTTGTATTCAGCCCCCCTAAGTCAGTACTTTGTAGAATCACCTTTTGCTGTAATTATAGCTGAAAGCCTTTTTGGGGATGTCTCTACCAGCTTTGCACATCTAGAGAGTTACATTTTCTTCCCATTCTTCTTTGCAAAATAGCTCAAGCTCTATCAGATTGGATGGAGAGCGTCTGTGAACAGCAATTTTCTTGCCACAGATTGTCAATTGGATTTAGGTCTGGACTTTGACTGGGCCATTCTAACACATGAATATGCTTTGATCTAAACCATTTCATTGTAGCTCTGGCTGTATGTTTATGGTTGTTATCCTGCTGGAAGGTGAACCTCCGCCCCAGTCTCAAATCTTTTGCAGACTAAGGGCTCGTTCACACTAGGCTGTTTTGCCAACGCTTGCCAAACGCCCCTATAGCGTTTGGCAAGCGTTGGTCCGGTATTTGCGGAGCGTTTTTAACGCTCGGCAAACGCTCCGCAAACGCCGCATGCGCGGTTTAGCGGAGGTTGCTAGGCGTTTGCCGAACGTTAATAACGCCCCACAAACGCCTAATGCATTTGAGTGGTGTTACCGCTCCGCAAACGCCCCGCAACCGCGTCGCAACCGCACCGCAAATGCGGGCCGGGCGTTTGCGGAGCGGCACCATAGACGAGAATAGGAGGCTTTAAAGCCTCCTGACTCGACCAGAGGCGTCCGTTTTGCCGCGACGCGATGCAAACGCTCCTGTTAGAACAGCACCATGTGCTGTAATGTGCAGAGTTGGCAGAGGCGTTTGGGAAGCGGTTAAAAACGCTTCCCAAACGCCTCTCTGCCGCCTGCACACAAGGCTAGTGTGAACGTAGCCTAACAGGTTTTCTTCTACGATTGCCCTGTATTTGACTCCATCCATCGTCCCATCAACTCTGACCAGCTTCCCTGTCCCTGCTGAAGAAAATCATCCCCACAACATGATGTTGCCACCACCATGATTCACTGTGGAGATGGTGTGCTCAGGGTGATGTACAGTGTTAATTTTCTGCCACACATAGCGTTTTGCATTTAGCCCAAAAAGTTCAATTTTGGTCTCATCTGACAAGAGCACCTTCTTCCACATGTTTTTGCTGTGTCCCCCACATGGCTTCTTGCAAACTGGACTTCTTATGGCTTTCTTTCAACAATGGCTTTCTTCTTGCCACTCTTCCATAAAGGCCAGATTTGTGGAGTGCACGACTAATAGTTGTCCTGTGGACAGATTCTCCCACCTGAGCTGTGGATCTCTGCAGCTCCACCAGAGTTACCATGGGCCTCTTGGCTGCTATTCTGATTAATGCTCTCCTTGCCTGGCCTGTCAGTTTAGGTGGACGGCCATGTCTTGGTAGGTTTGCAGTTGTGCCATACTCTTTCCATTTTTGGATGATGGTTTGAACAGAGCTCCATAATAAGCGTGGGATATTTTTTTTATAACTTAACCCTGCTTTATACTTTTCCACAATGTTATCCCTGACCTGTCTGGTGTGTTCCTTGGCTTTCATGATGCTGTTTGTTCTCTAATGTTTTCTAACAAACCGCTATATAAGTATCTGAAATAAATAAATATGCTAATTGGGTGACTTCTGAAGGCAATTGGTTCCACTAGATTTTAGTTAGGGGTGTCAGAGTAAAGGAGGCTGAATACAAATGCACGCCACACTTTTCAGATATTTATTTGTAAAAAAATGTTGAAAACCATTTATAATTTTCCTTCCACTTCACAATTATTTACCACTTTGTGTTGGTCTATCACATAAAATCCCAATAAAATACATTTACATTTTTGGTTGTAACATGGCAAAATGTGGAAAATTTCAAGGGTTATGAATGCTTTTTCAAGCACTCTAGATGATATAGGGGGGTGATATAGATGATATTTACACACACACAATGTCCTAGTCCATTCCAAAGCTGCCTGTTTTAATAATTGTTTTCTAACTTTCCCTAGGTGGTAAAAGTGCTGTTCTTACAGCTCTGATTGTGGGTCTGGGCGGCAAAGCTGCAACCACCAACAGAGGTTCATCAATAAAAGGATTTGTCAAAGATGGACAGACGTGAGTCCTAATCTGCTACCATTGTCTTAAACCCTTTATCGCTGTGCACTATTTTTGCAATGGGAGGGACTTCAAAGTCGGTTTAATTTTTTTTTTTTTCTTGGATGGCTATAAAGTGGTTCAGTAAAGTAAAATCTGTATCTTTGGCTCCCTTTCTGTTTTCCTTACAGTAAAGTAATGGGGCTGATGAGTTATTTACACTTCACACCCAAAAGAAACGCACTCTGGATGCATTCCGGATACGTTTCAGTTCACACCACACTCTGGTTCTGGTGCAGTTGTGATGCAGTTTGCTATGTTCCAGTACAGTTCTGTGCAGAAAAAAATGCAGCATGTTCTACTTTTTTCTGCACCAGAAACTGTCTGGAACTGACTGCACTGGTATGAACTAGGGTCATTGGAATACACAGAAAACACTGTGCATGCATTTTTGATGCAGAAAAAAAACCGCTCTGGACTGCATCTAGTGTGAACTAGCCCTAAAGGAAAGCACCAGGAAATATAACTTGGGAAAGACAGCAGAGGGGGTGGTAGTAGGTGTAAAGTGTTTATTACACTTGCCTCCATGTTGCCCCTTTCAAATATTTGGTTTGAAAAAACTAAATTAGGTGTACAGTTAGTTCTCTCAGTCTGTTCTCTTATTACCTCCTGTACCTACTTTTTGATAAGAAATAATTGTTTATTGGATGGTAACTTGAGCCTGAACTGTGAGGTTAGGCAGTTGGCAGGACAATGGTCAAACTGAAGGTGAACTCTGATCCATTAAACTTAGATCTTTTTACATTATTGTGGTGCAGTAAAGCACTACCACAACAAGCATATTATTGTGTTATTCATTTTAAATGGCACGCTAATGTGCTGCAACACATCTGCACTGAAGTACACCACAGTGCAGGGCCATCTAGCATTTTTTTTCCTGTGCTTTGTGTTTGGCAGCTTGTTAAAAATTAATGTGCTGCCTTAATCTCACATCACAAAGTGCATTCTTTTTTTTTTTCAGTATACATTTTTATATTTCATCCTTCAGCATAGCATAAACCACCATTGTACAAAGAGGGCGATTTCAAAGACAAAAGGGGTACATCATCATGAGCAGTGGTCATATTTACACAGATAATAATCCTCAAAATATTAATCTCTGCTTAGAGGGCATAACCTAAATGCACGCTGAGGTCTCTTAATCGCTGCATTGTAGTGTTTCAGAACCTCTATATATGAAGCCTTGCTGAAGTACCTAGTTTTCTGAAGATTTAGATAATATGCTCTAGGATGAGCCTGAAACAGCGAAGAAAACTTGTATAGCGCAAGTACCAGAAAAGCAGAATACAGAAAAAAGAAAAAAATTATAAAATAAGGGTCAAATGGGAAAAGAAAACAGGGATGTTGTGTGTGGGGGGGAGTCATTACGCCGTCAGCACAGATTAATGAGCTTTTTAGAAATACCTTTTACACAGGAGGTACCGTCTGAGTAACCAGGGAGGATATTAATGAATTAAAGTTCCGGAGTATGGAAAATCATGCCTGTAAAACTACATTGTGTGGAACCGCTCTTCTTTCCATTTGAGAGCTGCTGTCAGGCAATCCATCTCATTGAAGCCAACTTTTGGAGGAATCTTGACCTACTGCATTTTTGTGTGTTACATACTCTAAGTATGCATGTCTCCGTTTTGTCCTTTGAAGAGAGATCCATTAAATATCAACCCCTAAATCGATTCCCAGAGTAACATATACTGGGGGCATGTACAAAAGAAATGCAATGATTTCTTGTTGGCAACGCCAACTCTTAGGCCTCATGCACACGGTACTGTTAGCTGTATAAAGTTGCGTTTAAAATGCAAGTTTTTCTGCGTTAGCATTTTTAGAACAAATAAAAAGATTTTTGCTCAAAAACACTGGTTTACAGCATTTTACAGCATTTACCAGTGTTAGGGCGTTTTTTACAGCTAACAAAACCTCTCTTGAAACCCACTAGTGTTTAGCAGCATTTTTCTGCTTTAGTGGGGGGTTTTTTTTTAGCACAGAAAAAAAAATAAAAAAAGATTTTGTCTCAAAAACGCCAGTTTCCAGCGTTTTACCACATTTACCAGAATTAGAGCATTTTTACAGCTAAAAAAACTTCTGTTGAAACCCACTAGTTCTGGGGGGTTTTTTCCATACAGAAAACGCCCCTCCCAAAAAAATGCTATTAAAGCCTGTGTGAGCATGGGCACATAGGATAACATGCTGGGGAGCTTACTGGCTGTAAACCCCCCCCCCAAAAAACTGCCAAAAGCAGCAGCTGTAAAAACACCCAGGGGACCAAAGGAAAGATCTTATATAGGAGGGGTGAGTACCCTGTACCAGAGTGTCATTACTTTATAGCCCGCCTCTTGGTTTGTACTTGCAATTGAGAAGCAGTGAGCAAAATAACAGAATACACTCCCTCTGTTTTGCTAGTAAACATCCAAATCTCATTCCCACTGCTGAATAAAAGACGTACAAACCCTCAGGGGGCTTATTCAGCAGGAAGTAAGACATTGATAAGGTGTGTTGTAGAGGGGAAGGATTTAAACCATGTTTCTCACAGCAGGCCCCTGAGGAATTCTGTCAAACAGAAACTGTCTTATTTTCATGGCTTTCCAAAATTCTAGTTGGGAGACAGCATGTCCCTAATTTCCTTCTCTTGTGCATCATCAGCCGCTACAGAGAAAATGTTACATTTTGAATTGGTTGGTTAAGACAAACTCCTTAAACCTGCCATCTATAAGACCTGGAGGGAACTCTTTAGCAATGGTCATCGGTGACATAAAAATGGGGGTTGAAGCATATCGCATAAGACAATTCGCTTTGGTCAAAACCAAACGTATAATGCCTATCAATGGGTAAGATTTAATATTGAGTGGCAGGATTGAGGTCTGTCACGGGTGGGTCTGTAACAAAAGTTGGGACATATCCTGTTCCAACCACAGCCAGCCCTTCCATGATTCATGTACTATCCATTCCAAGGTTCTCAACTGGTGTATAGTTTGATAGTATTTGAACAGACCTGGGAATCCGATATCCCCCCTCTCCTTTAGCAAGGTCAAAAGACAGTATAATGGCCCCAGAGAATATTTAGGAATTCTGCCTTTATGGCTAGGAGGACGGAGCCTGGAGTGGCTACCGGGAGGATCTGTAAGAGATACAGCTGTCTCGGTAGAACAGTCATCATCAAGATGCCGTTCCTCCCAAACCAAGTAAAAGATTGTTGGTGCCAAGGTATAAGATCTGCTCTCATTGTTGCCAACCAAGAGAGAAAGTTTTCTTTAAATGTTATGTTATATTGAATTCTTCGTAATACTTTGGGGGTATATTCACATTTTAAAGCTTCTGATTTGTGCACATTAATTTTAAGAAGTCCACATACATTTTAAGAGCCCTTACTAAATTTAAGAATGGTGACCTCTGGGTTGGTTATGAAAAATGTCGACGTAAGCTGCGACCTTGTGATATGTACTAACACTGTGAAAACCCTTCATGTCTGGGTTTTCTCCAGATTCTCCAGAACAAGCAGGAAAATCAGAGGCAAGAGAGTGCATCCCTGTCGGGTCTGATTGCTCAGGACAAACGTTGAGAAACTGCTTCATTTGCCTTGATTGCCCCTGTTGGTTGTGAGTGAATTGCATCTATCCAAGTGCTCATATTGGGGCCTATTCCAAGGTGCCGAAGCGTGCCTTTCATAAAGAGCCCACTTACCCGATTGGAGTCAGAGTGACCCTCGCTGGGCCAGGTGTATTGAGTTCAGAACTCTGCAAGTGTCACCTGCCTTCCCTTTTTGGGATAAACCTGACTTGGTCACAGTGGACCCGTGTGGCTACAAAGGGAATAAAGTGAATAACCAGTATTTTGTTTTTTTTAAATCTTAACATTTAGTAGCAAGATAGGGCGGTAGTTCACACAGTCTATGCCCACCTTTGGAATTTGTTATATGTGCTTGCAGGGAAAATGTAGGAAATAATGCACCATCCTAAGAACATTGCTGGAGAGTACAAAGTGTGGTATGAGGATCTTGGTAAACATTCGGTAGTAAAGCCATTGGGTCACGGGGCCTTTCCTGCTTCCGCGTCCTACATTGCTGCTAAGACTTTGGTTTAAATAATTGGACCCTCCATAGCCTCTCTATCTTGGGGAGATAACTTAGATAGGCCTAAAGTTTGGAGGTAATTGTCAATCTAAGAGAGATGGGTCTGGGCATCTGGCACAGTCCCACTTCGGGATAAGTTTGTAACGTTTCTCATAGTAATCACTATAGCTGTTGGAAGCCCTCTGGGATTTGTAGCGTTGGTGACCTTAAGCAGATGTCACCCTAGGGATACTTAAATGGGGTTTCACCTCTTTTAACGCCTGAGCTAGGGACCTGCCTAGTTTATCGCCAAAGTCGTAAAAATGTCTGAGTGCATAAATGTCTTTTTTGCCTTGATGAGCAATACTGAATTTAAAAAATCCAGACGATTCTTCAACTCAACTGTTGTGTCACTGGCTAAAGACTGTTTGTGGATTCTCTCTAGTATATGAATACAGTCTAAGAGAGTCCATTTCCTGTAATTTCTCTTTTTTCTTTTCATCTTTTGGCCCTCAGTTTAATTAGAGTTCCCCTTATCAAACACTTAAGAGCTTCCCTCATTTCAAAGAGGAAGGTCTATGAGGCCGTGTTTGTGGCAAAATATAACTTTATCTCGTTCTCAAATGAGTGCACTTTGTTGTTGTCCTCTTTTTATTTTGCTCCTCCAAGTTCCAGACTGTCAGACTAGTTCTCACAAGAGCAGAGACACTGTAACTGATGTGTGGTATGAGATTGTCCAGGAACCAATGGTTTCAGAAACCACTAGGGGGAGAGCAGATTGATGAAGTAAAATTATTCTAAACGAGAGAAGAAATGATGAATCACAGAGAAATATTTATAGTCGCGTGTGTCACTGTGGTATATGACACACATCCACTAGTATCTCTGTTATCACTGCTCTCTTAAGTCGCCGTAGGACAGCATAGGATAAATGCAAGTTGAAACATCCAACAAGGGGATCTAGTGTTGCATTCAGATCGCCTCTAACTAACTATAATCCCTCAGCAAACTCAGACACCTCTAGGTACAGCTCAATAAAGCCCACCTGATCCATAATGGGGGCAGAGATTTTAGCTAGTGCTACTCAGTGTTCAGCATTGGAGCCCTTCACAAAGAGGAATTTACCCATTTTGTTTTAGTGGACATCTGTAAAGAACCAAGGTATGCCTTTTGAAATCAGGATCCTGACCCCTTGAGATTTGGAGTCAGTAGAACAGCTGTGGTAAACAAATGGGTACCTGAAATCCCATGTCTTGGGAGCTTTGATTCTTTAAAATGCATCCCTTGGCAAAACTCATTATGGGTGCGATTCTTCCATGCTTCACTTCTATCCATTTCTCAAGGATGTTTAGACTGTATATTCAGTGAGAATAAGTTTACTGCAGGCATTATATTGTTGCAACCAGAAGTGACTCGGCTGCAAAAAAAAAAAAAAGTGGGTTGGCTGGGGAAGGTAGGATGGGAATTAAAGAGGGAAAGGTTAAAGTAGAAAGGAGGGTGTAAGGGAAAGATGAAAGAAACCTCCTAAGGGGTGCTACCACTATTAGGAGGTGTAGAAGGGACTAAACAAATACTTCAATTCTACAGCACGAACCCACCCTACGATCTAGATCAGCAATGGGCAAACTACGGCCCGGTGGACCTTTTAATCCAGCCCGCGGAGCTAGGCTCCTCTCACAGTCCGCCCTGAAGACCGGTGTAGCAAAATCCGTCTCCTATGAGGATCTGTCCCCCTTGACGTATCTGCGCATGTGCCGGAGATCGCCGATTGGCTGCTAATGCCTGAAACTGGCACATGCGCAGATACGTCGAGGGGGACAGATCCTCATAGGAGACAGATTTTCATGCTACACCGGAACGACGCGGGACACGGCGAGAGGAACGTGCGGAGCAAAGGTAAGTGAATTGACACGGGGGACTTGGGGACTTAATATGGGGGATGAATTACTATAGGGGGGATGAATTACTATATGGGGGATGAATTACTATGGGGGATGAATTACTATGGGGGATGAATTACTATATGGGGGATGAATTACTATAGGGGGGATGAATTACTATAGGGGGGATGAATTACTATAGGGGGGATGAATTACTATAGGGGGGATGAATTACTATATGGGGGATGAATTACTATAGGGGGGATGAATTGCTATAGGGGGGATGAATTGCTATAGGGGGGATGAATTGCTATAGGGGGGATGAATTGCTATAGGGGGGATGAATTACTATAGGGGGGATGAATTACTATAGGGGGGATGAATTACTATAGGGGGGATGAATTACTATATGGGGGATGAATTACTATAGGGGGGGATGAATTACTATGGGGGATGAATTACTATATGGGGGATTAATTACTATGGGGGATGAATTACTATGGGGGGTGAATTAATATGGGGGGATGAATTACTATGGGGGATGAATTACTATGGGGGAATATTACTATACTTACTATGGATGACACATACACATCATTCATCTACTCTTGGTCCGGCCCCCGGGTCCAATATATGAACCCATTGCGGCCCTCAAGTCAAAAAGTTTGCCCACCCCTTGATCTAGATGGTGAGAACAAGGCCTACATAGGGGTGAAGTGATAGCCATGATATGGCCTAGATTCACATCTGGGCTTCGCAATCTGCAAACATTAATAATGAACAATTACACGCAACAGATATAACAAATTAGATTGATAGGCACTGTGGTGTTCCTGTACATGTAATCATAACCAAAATATAGAGATATTGAAGCATGGGCAATGCAACCCATCTCCCCTTTCACAGTCTCATGTCTTGCAACGTGAAGTAGCAAGAGCGACCTGTCTATTAACATCAGGAAAAGCACAGGGCTGCCTTAGATATGACATCTGCCACTCTATATTGGGGAAAAAAAAAACCCTTCAGCTCTAAATACAGGGTAGCCTCTATACAGCAAACTAACATCAGGAAAAAATTATTGGAGTAACATCGAACCGTAAATAAATAATAGGAAAATGATAAGAAAAATAAGAAGAAAAACAGAGCTCTCTGAATAACATCAGCTTATGTGCTTGTGCAATATAACCACTTTTCGCACAGTAATGGCTCACGTTCACACTAAATTGTACCAACAATGCTGGGATCTCTGCATGGGAACACTCCCAGCAGTAGACCCAGAGTTGGACTCTCAAATAGTGAACAAACTAGTGAAAGTTCCAGCCTCTGCAACTAACTGTGCGCCCCAAACCTGGAAGAAAGTCTGTAACATACTTTTACGTTAGCTGAGCCTGTAACTGCTGTCCACTCGCAATACATTTTCTGTGAGTAGGCAGCAAGTGGTTGAAATCTAACTTCACCCAAAATGGGGAAGTACCTCCTTTCTGCCTCCTCCCCGCTTCCTCTTCTACTTTAGGCACATACTTTTTTTTTGGGATGGGGAGCAGGTATCTGTTTTTGACAGGTACTTGTTCCCACTTGCGCTCAGATCACCTAGTCCAGGAATGTGCAGCATGTGGCCCAAGAATTTTTTTTTTTTGTCCTAAAAATGCATTTACACTTTGTGAACACAAATGTGACTCAAGAAAAATTTGTCAGTGTTTCTTTACTAGACTTTAAGTTTCATCTTTCCAAAGAAAAATCTCCCACCCCTCACGATCACACCTTATTCATGTCGTCAGTTTTCAACAGCACCTATTGAATTGTGAGCAACTATTTCCAAGGATGAAGCACACAAAGGGCAAAATTAGAACCAAAATATCTGATGAACACCTTGAGAATTCATTGAGAATTGCTATTATATCCATTGAACCAGGTATTGATGCGTTTATCAAAAACAGTGTCAAATATTGCACTAGTTTTATGTTCCCCTCTTACTTTTATAATAAAAAAAAAAAAATATGACGTTTTATTATTCAGGTTCATTATTCATATCCGTGATCGTTACCTTGTGATCTGCACGGCTTTTTCTGCTCATTCGCTATCCTTATTGTTAATGTATTTTATGTGCAACTCAAGACAATTCTTCCTCCAGTCTTCTTCCAGTGTGGCTCAGGAAAGTGAGAAGATTAGACACCCCCTGCCCTAGGTGATCTGAGCGAAAGTTCGCCCCCTCCCTGCATGCAGGTTTCTGAGACACGCCACAAGTCCTAGAAGGCTGCAGGACCATTCAAAAAGCATAGAGTGGCACGTGCATGTGCAGTGGGAAGCTGGCTGTGAAGCCGCAAGGAGTCACAACTTGCTTCCCACACTAAAGATGCAGGCATCGAGGACCCAAAGACTAGTTAAGAACTAGCCCTAGGTGAGGATGTCGCTGAATCCCTGGACAGGTAAATTACCTTTTTATTAAAAGTTAGTAGCTACAGTACTTGTAGCTGTTGACTTTAAAACATTTTTTCAAACTGAAGAACTGTTTTGAGGGTTTAATGTCACTTCAAGAGATTACAGAATGACCCTTATTCCAAAGAATTTTGCAAAGGAGACAGTTATGCATTTTCTTTTTCAGGTCTGCGGATGTATCTGTAACATTGCGCAATCGAGGATCAGATGCTTTTAAACCTGAGGTATATGGAGACTCCATTGTTGTTCAGCAGCATTTAACTGTAGATGGAAGTCGCACCTACAAACTGAAAAGTAAGACAGGTATGTGGCTGCAGTGCACATAAAAGGAGTTGCTAGGTCAGCACAGTGTTAACTGCACAGTGACTGTACATGGTAATGTCGGTTTAGTAGACATACTATAATATAGTCTCATAGTGACTTAAAAAGGGGGAAATGTGCCACATAACAGGTTGACTGGTAGTGTCTTGAAAAAGGGGGGGACCTGTACTTTCCCAAAACAGTGGCTGGTGTTCTACTTTTTTTCACTGATGTTTTTAAAACAAGTGTTCTGATCGAAATTGTTATTTATATGTTGACACAGTAGAGGGTGTCATCCCTCCTTTCTACTTTTACACTCTGAAACCTTCTTGGGTATCCATCTGTATGGTGTGTGATTTGTTATCAAAGCATACTTGACTGACAGCAAGGAACAGGCTTTTACAAAATATTATCTAATATTTGGTTTTATTGTTTTTTAAAGGGACCATTGTTTCGTCTAAGAAGGAAGAACTTGTTTCAATTCTAGACCATTTTAACATACAGGTAATGTGTAAGTTATTTCACAATAGTTGGTTAAGGCTGGCCATACATGATTAATTTTTTTTTTTTTTTTAAGTAAATGAAAGGGTTGGATAAAAAAAGAGCAGATTCCCACATCCACACATTTGATGTGGATGGGGGAATCCATCCTGCTGTGCAATTGTATTCTGCGTGCGCAGAGCTTTCCCCGCCATCAGAATACAATGATCAATGTTGCCAGCTATAGCAGGTGGCACCGATCATTTGGGAAAAACCAATCCATGTGGTTGTACATAAGTTGATTGATCGACTTCTGTACAACCAACGTGCCCATACATGGATTGAAATTTTCCTGTCCTTGCTGAACTGGCCAAATTTCAATCTATGCATGGCTGGTTTAATTTACAGTGTCCCCAGAAACTTCCCGTAAGATTTTATATTGGTCTTGGCAAACAGTTATTTCTTATCCATTGAGGGACGCAGGCAGTCTTTAACCTTCAGGTTATAGGTTCAGGTTTCGTGTAGGAATGGACATCTATTCTTTAATCAGACTCTTTACACCACTGCTGCACCTTTGTCTCTTCAGTTGGCACTATCTGACACAGTAGTCCTCAACCTAGTTTATGGACTACCATGTCCAGACTCAGGAATAGACTGAACGGGGTTTATTTACTAAAGCTGGAGAGTCCAAAATCAGACTCCCTTCTGCATAGAAACCAATCAGCTTCTAACCTCAGCTTGTTCAATGAAGCTTTGGCAATGAAACCTGGAAGCAGATTGGTTTATATGCAGAAGGGAGTCTGATTTTGGACTCTCCAGCTTTAGTAAATAAACCCCAAAGTGTCCTCCAGGCACTGGGTGTTGCATGGGGCACATTTTAGGCTTAATTTTGGTAGAAGTAAGCTGCAGAGCATCTTTCCAGGTCCAGAGCCGCTGTCATTGCCTCATTGCTTATCCTTTATAAGACTCTGTGATTGAGCTGGTTGGGTCAGGCACCAAGAGCTGCCTCATTTACATAGGTTGCTTGGCGCCTTTATTCCCAGTTCCTGCTGGTTTTTAAAGAAAAAAACCTACGGGGGTTAACCTTTAATCGAGTGCAGCCGTCATCCACTTAGTGGAGTTTTGTGTAAGCTTTGCTTTCTTACCTGCCATACATCCTTCTGCATGCCTTCAGCGACTTTGGGAACCTCCAGCCATTCAACCCTCACCTGCTACCCGTGAGTGCCTGTGGCCTTGCTCTTATTTTAGGCTTCATTCACATGACCGTAAATATTTTACTGATGTTATTACACTTGTGTTTGCTAGGAGAAAAGTTCCTTTGTAATGATCAGTAAAATACTGGCATACAGATGTGTTTAAATGTGCAAAGATGCATATGCTTGCATAATTTGTTTTTATAACCATTTATTTTATCCCTTTGTTTAGACTTAGTGTTACTAAACCCCGGACCCTGCATTCACTATATCTGGTCTCCCACAGTACACACAACATGGAAATACAATTATTTTAGTAAATATAAACTGCTAAATACCTTTTCTCATCAACAGTTGAAGCTGTCTTTTGACTTCTATCAGTGTCCAGCAGAGCCCTGGTTAAAACTTGTAGGAGGAGCTTTCATTATCCTCTAGGAGGATGCAGGACCCCCTAACCTCTGCCTGGACAATGCTGATTGGCCCTGTGCTGATCAGCCCTGTGCTGATCACATGCACTGTCCCAGGGAAAAAAAAACCCTCTAGCAATACACCCCAAACTGAGCATGTGCAGAGTGACTCCAAACCTATGTTCTATCAGGAAATATTTAGGGGACAATGGTAGAAGGGGAGGAGAAGAGAAGATCAAACAGCCTTTTTACAAAATGCGGAGAATTAATCCCTTAGGTTCCACAGTGAATATAATAAGCATGCTTTACTGCATATACAGACTGATTTTACTGTTGTGGGTTTAGTAACACTTAATTTATACACTTACAAACACGTATACATATGTTTATACATGTAAGCGTGTAAAGCATATGTTCTTAGATGCAGATCTTTTGATTCTGTGTTACCGATTGGAAGGCAGCTCAATTGTGCTTCTGTGTGAATGGCTCAGTTTAAAACAATGCAGCTGCTTTTAAATATGTAATTAAAAAACATATATGTATGGCTGTGTGAATGAAGCCTGATGTGTAATGCCACTTTTGTTGAGAGAAAAAAAAAATCCCTCTGGGTGATCTATCTACATTTCAGGGATTTTAACAAATTTTTCTGTAGATCTCTACCTTTTTTTTCTGTTCTGAAAAAAATAGCTGTTTCACAGTGTCCTTTAAACCGCTTAAGGACCGCCCTATAGCAGATATACTGCTACAGGGCGACACCTGTGCGCAGAATCACATGTATGTGTGATTTTGCATTTCCGGGTAGGGGGTGTGTGTGAGCCCTATCAGCGCCGCCATTTGCACCCGCGGATGTCAATCACCGGGTTCCGGCCGGTAGTTACCCGCCGGTGCCCGGTTATTACCGAGCATCACCAATGGGGAGGAAGATTGTTTACAAACAATATTTCTCCCTAGCTCGAGCACACTGCTTGGGATGGCTGTGCACAGTACAGCCCATCCCGATCAGCAGTGAAGCACAAAGCCCCCTAGTAAAACACTCCCAGCACACAGTTAACCCTTTGATCACCCCTCACATTAACCCATTCCTGCCCAGTGCCATTAGTACAGTGTCAGTTTTTTTTTTTTTTTTTTTAGCACTAATCACTGTATTGGTGTCACTGTGGTGTCAGTGACACCAAGTTAGATCCCCCCCCCCTAGGGTCAGAATGTCCGCCGCAGTCCTGCTAAAAGTCGCTGATGGCCGCCATTACTAGTATGAAAAAAAAAATCTCATCTATACTTCCATTTGTAAACGCTATAACTTTAAAGTAAACCAATTAATTTACACGTATTGGGGTTTTTTTTTTTTTTTTTTAAAAAAAGAGATGTCGCAGAATAAATTTTGACCTAATTGTATGACAAAATTTTATTTTTTTAAAAAAAATTTTAATGAACATATTTAATAGCAAAAAGTCCAAAATATTGTTTTTTTTTTTCCCTCAAAATTGTCACTTTTTTTGCCTATAACGCAAAAAAATAAAACAAATGCACAGGTGATCAAATACCACTGAAAAAAGCTCAATTCGTGGGAAAAAAAGGATGTACATTTTATTTGGGTGCAGCATTGCATGACCGCGCAATTGTCAGTTAAAGTAACGCAGCTCTGTAACGCAAAATGGTCTGGTCATGAAGGGGGTAAATCCTCAGGAGGGCAAGTGGTTAAAGACTAGTTTTTAATAGGAGGGTTTGGTTCTTATTAGAGTTTGCATCCATTTGGAAGTTTTTAACCCTTGGGGGGGGAGTATCTCGGCCAAACTGAAAATTCCCATTGTAGGGGGTGCCTAAAATTTGACTTGTATCTTCTGAGTAATTTAGATGACTTTGAAAAACAAGTCATCTAATCACACAATTAAAAAAATTAATTTCTATGGGTGTTCTGTATACCAGTGACATACGGAACACCACCAGGGTGCTATTGAAAATATTGCGGAAATTTACAGCAGCTGCAGTTTGAAAAGGAAAGGTAATTTTAACTAGAAATGCTACAATTTCCGGGGAAATTGTGTGAAGTGTTCTTGCCTCCACTAGTAGTCTACAACTGAGTGGGCGGAGTAACTGGGTGCCTTGAGTAACTGTTGTGTGGTTGGAGTGGCTGGAGTAACTGAAAAGGTTGGAGTGGGCAGAGTAACTTTATGGAGTGGGCAGAGTAACTGTGTGGAGTGTTTGGAGTGAGTAAAGATAGTAAACATTACACTAACCAATTGATCAAATTTAAAACGTGCACCTGGCAAGCTTGATAGAGTGAGAAATGCATTTCAACTTTTAATTATTTATATAGCACATTTCATTGCAATGTTGTTGCCCAAAGTGCTTCACAGTTACATTAAAACATACATTTATAAAACCATTAGCAGCATTATAACCTCAAATACTCTGTACTATAGAAAACTTATTTCCAAACCTTTAACCAGAAGCCGGCCAAACTGTCACTAATTCAAAATTAGATTTCAAATAGGGCAGAGAAGAGCGGTTAAAAACAAACCGCTCCAAATTGCTCACTTCACTGGCGTCTTCAAATGGTTGTAGTTTTAAAAACTATAAATCCTACAGCGAAGAGCTTTATATTGTGAGAATCACAAGACCCAGGCCTACATTTTGATGCATAGCATGTCTCTGAAATATTAAAATGAAGGCACAGTCGCAGTTTAGAAATTGCCCTTCAAATTTGAGGTGGCTAGAGTGGAGTTTCAATGAATGTCAATAGGCGGCGTGAGTTGCAAACAAATGGTCATATTGTGAAAACTATCAGGACTATGGCTTAGCCGCAGACATTTTTAGTGGCAGCAGGGATAGCTGAACGTTTTGATATAAGATTTGTGTAGGTGGGCTTGAAAATGAGGGAGTGATGGCAGTTTAGAAATCATGTCCTGATTTTTCAGCTCAAACTCTAGCTTTGTCAGCTCCCACTCTAGTTTTGAACATTCCGCCATTCATTCCTATGGGACCAATTTCACCACAAAAACGCTGATATTTCGTGAACCAATTGGCAAAACGTTCCACAAAGTAGTAGCACACCAATCGGGAACAATCCGCACGTTTCGGTATATCACTATCTATGTAGTGTAAAAACTGGAAGGAGTTAGGGTGGTAAATTTGGCTATAATAATAAGAATATATATGTGAGATAACAGTGAGTGGTCTTGCCATGCAAGAACACTTAATAACACGGAATTACAGAACTGCTTGTGTAGCAATTGTATAAGCTATATTTTTTTATGCTATTTTTTTTTGCCAATTGGAGTTGTTTTTAAGACTATACATTGCCTTAATACAGCTCAGTAGCAACATGCCTGATTTTAGACACGTGGGGGGTGGGTAGCCCTGCTGTACTGGTTCCCACTAATTATTTTGT